AAAAAATTATATATAGTATTTCTTCTATACAAACTTTGCTTATGTTATTTATTAAAAATATTGATTTTAGTAGTTCATTTATTTTTCTCTAATTCCAATAATTATGAAGAGTTTTATATTTAAAAAACAGTCAATCCATGAAAAGAAATCTAAAAAATATTTCTTTCACAATCATGTCTTGAAAAAAAAAATGTTACTTATTCTTTAATCTCATCTTGAACCCGACTATCATTTTTATTTATCTGTTCTTGCACCTATCAACTTTATAATTTATATTTTAGTTCTTACCTATATTTATATTAAGGGATTTTAAGAATTGATGTGATACCACTTTAGAGCTTCCATAATTTTGATAAAAAGTCATGATCCTAATTCAGATATCTAAATGTTTGTTTTAAATTTCATGCATACTTTATGTAGGGGTTTTCAATTTTAGTCATAACATTTTAAACAAACAATCAAATTGTACTTATTGATTACTAATTAATATGACTTTTATGTATTTCATTGTGAAGAAACAATATAAACAGAAGTCCGCATATAGACATTAAAAGACATAAGATAAAAGAATAAGTTTGATGTTTGAGAAAGACTAATTTGAAGGAATAAAAAAAAAATAAAAAAAAAGCCAAAAACAGACCTACTGCTCTTGCGATTTTTTGAAACCCTCACTTGCGCCTGATCTCTCTCCAAAATCTGTCTGATTAGCCTTCCTTGTCGTCGGCTTATGCACGACCAGGGGTCGTCTAGACCGCCCTTCTCCACCCCCTGACGTTTTGCACCTCCGATTCACTGTGGATGACGACGATTAGGGCACCTCCGATTGTGGATGGGGCTTTAATCGGCGGTGGCGCCTCTCCCGGCCGGCGTTGGCGATGGACCTGAGTCTGGATTCATCTCTTCCAATGCAGTCTTTGTATTGGCTGGTGGTGGTAAGTCCCTTGCTCTGGCTCCCGTCTGCTTTTGGCCGTTTTCGGCTGGTCTCCGCCTCTCTGGTGGGGCTCAGTTCCCTGGTCGTCGGCATTCTGTGGTGGGGTCGGATAGGGCACGCGTCGTTGGGTGGGAAGAGACCCCGACGGTTGTGGCGTCTCTTGTTGCGGTGGTTAGGGTTGAAGGCTCGGTGTTCGTCCACCCTCTCGGTTCGGCTAGTGGTGTTAGGCGGCCGGGATTTGGTGCTATCCGACTCGTCTAGTAGTGTTAGATTAGTTCGGGTGGCATCGGCGTGGGGGTTGATTGCGGCTCTCTCGGTCAAAGACGGGTCGATTCGGGGAGGGTTTGGGGTTCGGTTTAATCTACTGTATAGGCCTTCTGCAGTTTCGGTAGAGGCTTCTGGACCTCGAATCCTTCTTGTGTCGATCGTTTCACTGCTGGTTGGGCTAGGTCGTGCGACGAGGAAGGGCCGTTAGTTTCGATTTTGTTTGTTTTGTTTCTTGTAGGTGTGTTGTCGCTATTGTTAGTTGTGCTAATTGTGTGTTGTTGTTGTTGTTGTGTGTTTGGGCCGTTGGCCCCAGTTCGCTCGAGTGTGACCTTATTATCCTGTTGGGATCCCACACTCGAGCATTACCCTATTGGGGTCGTTGTAGTGTCGTGTTTTTACCCTGTTGGGGTCGTCTTAGTGTCATGTTTTTTGTTCTTAGGATATTACCCTGTTAGGGTCGGTTCTAGGCGGTCTTTCGACCTGTCCTCCCAATTTTATTCAGCTGGTGGTTGGGTGTGTATTTAGTTGGTGGTTGTACTCTTGCACATTTGTGTCTTTTATATATCATTTCTATCGTTCCGGAAAAAAAAAGACTAATTTGATAATATAGAGAATAATGTAATTATTAAATGATGCAAAATATAAAAATATATAGAGAATGATTTTAAAATAATATTATTTTATTTTTTTTGCATTTCGTAAAAGTTACATTGTGCCCCCTTAGCTTTACAAGTCTACGTCCGCCCCTGTCTGCATAGTGGTGTTCTAGGCGTATGACCGGTGAACATGCAAACTTATCTGATGTTTAACAGGGTCTAATGGTGAAGTAACTTTTGGTGATGGTGTGAGTAATGAAGTCATTGAAGTCGATTGTTTAAACTTAAAGGTTCTACCTAAGTTGAATGTGTTAGAGTAGTATACCCAGCGTTCCAATTTTGATTGGATGTATTCTACTTGTAAATACAATCTATTGGAATTATATTAATTAAAAGGCATTACTTTATCTTAAGAGTA